TTTTTCACTGCTTTTACTTTCTTGCTTGTTCCCTCATTGTGATGTTTGCCCCTCCTCATCTCACCCTTAACAGGGTGGTCCATAGTTTGATAGTCAAGGAGTTGTTCAACACTTCAAATGGCCAAAAATCCTATACATGCAAATATGCAATATGAAAGGACAAAGCATGTTGATGTTTGTATAAAAAATAAAAAAATAAAAAACATAAAAAAATGTTGATGTTTGTCTACATTTATTTTATTCGTTATATTGTGGCTGAAGGAGCCATGACAATCAAAAATATCTCTCCTAATAACAATCTAGCATACATGTTAACTAATGGTTTTTTTTGGGACAACTTTCATACTATTTTGCTTTTAGATTGCAACCAAAACTTATGTTTAACTTACTCTTCCTCGCTGCTTTCAAAAAATTAATGTACAAAGAAACTGTTTTTTACAACAATTAAAAATTTTACTTTCCCCACACTAAATTTACATGTAATTTTACAAATAACTATACTTATCCCAAATAGATCTTAAGATAACGCTTGGACCAAAATTCTAGCACTCTACTTAAACTTAATTGAAAATTTAAACTCCCTTAATGGGAAGTTGTGGGTTGGAGGAAGTCTAAAGGTCTGCTTGGGACAGTTGCAGCATTTTATAAATTTGATAGTGAAGTGTTGTGGAAAAAATAACCTGATTTGCTTTATTTGCAAAAAAATAAAAAATAACAGCTTTCTATCACTAAAATTTTTAAAAAATAGTAAGAAAGCAACAAAAAAGTAATAGCCATACAAAATTATTGTTGTTGCCTGAAAGAAAAAGCAGTAAGAAATTGTTCTCAAACAAATCTTAAATGTACGGACATATGTAAGATCTAGGTTTAGATTTATCAATTTTTATTCCTTGTTTTGTTGTTGGTCTGCCTATGGTCTGTATTTAGGCATGATTCATATTACTGAGGTTAAGGTATATTTTTGCATTTGGAGGATAAGGTAAGAACAGATGAATTCCAGTGAAAGATTGATAGGTTAGAATACCTCAGAATGAAGAATAGTATGGGTGGGGCTTCCATATTCTTTAGTTTGTTCTTATCTAATTCCTGCTATTCTCTGATTGATCATTGCTCCCTAGCTTCTTGGTAAGTGATTCTTTCCTTTTTCCTGAGTTTTGTTTTCTGCTTATCATTTTCCTTATAAAAAAAATCAAAGTCCCTTGATAGAAGAGAGAACATTAGAGTAATCTTTCATTTGATTTCATTTTTTTCATGATTTACTCTTAAAAAAATAATCTTAATTTATACATTCTTTATATGATACAACAGATAAAAGCCCAATATTAACACTGTTGTAGCAAAAAGACAAAGGTTTCGTTTGGGACGGCTTTCTTATTGCTTCTTAAAACTGTTTTTTAGTACAAAAATTAAAATGTTTGTACTATAAAGCCGCTTTAAGAAGCAGTAAGAAAGCTGTCCCAAACAAAACTAAAAGCAATACATTATTGTGAAAGGAAGCAAACAAAAAAAGGAAAAAGAGAGAGAGAGAATAGATTAAGATAGAAAGTGCATATCATGATTCCCAAAAAATTTCATGAACATATTGACATTAAAGATCTATTGGGAACTACATATCCTCAACATAATGTACTTCATTTAATCATTTGATCTTGCAGCCATCACCAATATGAGAAACAACAGCAGGAGGTGTTATCATTTTTCCCTATGCATTATTGCACACAATGAAGCATCAGAGAGGTGCGCCACTTAAAACTAGCATCCATGTCTGTAAATGCTAACCCTGCAAAATTATCTTGTAATTGGCTTCTTGGCTCTTCAAGCTTTTCTTTTTTCAGTTCTAGGCTTCATTTGGGACTGCTTTCTTACTAGAGTTTTTGTGAAAGTCAGATTCAACCCAAATGCCTAAATTTATTTGTGAAAGTCAGCAATCTAATATTTCTATATCAACAACTATTTAGGCTTCATTTAGGGCGTTTTTTAATGTTTTCTAAAGCAACATCCTAGTACAAAAATTTCTAGTTCAAGAAATTTTTGTACAAGAAAGCTCCTTTCGAAAGCAGTTAGAAAGTCGTCCCAAAAGAAGCCTTAATGTGATGTGGAAGTAAGCTCAATACTCTCAAACTCGGAACAATTTTACAACAAAAATGTCTTGGATTTATTGAGAGAAACATGTATTATAGATTGCAAGCTATGTGAAACTCCTACTAGATATTGATTGAGAAGAAACACTAGCAGACAAAGAATATCAAGGATTGATTGGAAAACTGATATATTTGTCTTACAATTATCCATATATAGTAGTTTTTAAAAGTTTCATAAGTCAAATTATTCATAAACCAAATAAGTCTCACTTTCAAAGTACCCATAAAGTTCTTAAATCTTTAAAATCAAATATTGAAAAAGGGATTCTCTAAAAAAGACACCAAATTCTAAAGCTGAAAGGCCTAAATGATAACATAAAACTGTTTATCACAAATTTAACACATTTCCTTCACATCATTTGGTTTCTCACTAAATATATCAATAGGATCATTTTTCTAATTCATTTTTTGAGACCAAGCAATGTAAAGATGAGAAAAAAAAGTGTTGAGAACCTCAATATAGTTAAAGGCTCTCTATACACTAGTTGTCCACACATAAATATATTTCTTTAATATGTTTGTGATGGAACTACTATGGTGCTAAAATTTTTAATGAAACTTGTATAAATTGTAGCCAAACTATGAAAACTCATAAAATCATTGATTTTTTTTTTTAATGACATGTCTTTATGTGTCTAAGGTTTCATTTGTGATGATTTTCTTACTGTTTCTTACACCAGCTTTCTAGTACAAATTTTTTAATTTCTGCACTAAAAAATTGTTTTAAACCCCAGTAAAAAACCGTCCCAAATGAAGCCTAAGTCTTGAAGTAGTCATTGAAAAATCTAAAAAGATAACTTTTTAATCTCATTAAAAAACACTTCATATTCACATATAACATCTCCTCTCTAAGCTTGTTTGATACTAACAAAAGATGGTGGATGTATTAATCTTTATAAGGACTAAAAATGAGTATGTCATTTAAAAAAAACTACGAAGAATCTCCCTATAAAAAGCTTCGATATTATATTCATGAACCTTGTAAATGTGCTTGGTGCACTTGATAGGCCAAAAGACATCACAATCCATTCATATATTGTCGATCTAGGGTATAAAGAGTTGTCTTACACTCATCATCAAGTCAAAATTTGATATGATGGCATCATTCTTAAGAACAATCTTGGAGAAGTGGCATCCCCTATTTGCTTTAAGCCTTTAAAATGTCATCAAATCTATATTTTATCGCCTATGCATTTCTTCCATAAGGCATGTGAAGAGTGAATTCACTAAAATGAGATAGAGCACTTAAGGGATACTTTCAAAGATTCTTTTTCTCAAGCAGGCCAAATATCATGAGCGAATTCGAAGTTACTATGAGGGATATTTTATGTGATATCTTTGCACTAGACATTTTTATTCATCTATGATGGAAGAGATGGTATGCTCTTATGATGATATAATTATTCGAGCATAAGCGCAAAATAATTGCTAATGAGACTGTTAGTGCTCATCAAAAGTAATTTGAAAAATATCAAATAAATATAAGAATTCACAATAAGGAATTTAACGGTCTCCTCAATGAAAAAAGTAGGAACAATCAATATACGAATGACACTTTCATCATATTTAAAAAAAATAATAAAAAAATAATTTTTGGCTACCACATTATTATAAATCTTAAATAAATAAAATATCTTTAAAGTTTTCATTATTACAAATCTTATAAACCATTGCAATTAAATAGTTATATATATGTATGCATGAATTGATAAAACCACTCAAAATTTTTGTGCTAGGATTTTGAAATTTATAAATAAATTGTAGCAATCATTTAATGGGTTGTGACAATTTTTCTATCAAAGTGCTATTTTTAAAAAGAACTTATATCAAGCTAGTTTGAATTAGTTTAATTTATGACAATTTTTAATAAGTAGTTTGTATATATAAAAGATTAATATTGTAGAAAAAAAATATTTGGAGTGAATTCGAAGTTACTATGAGGAATATTTTATGGCATATCTCTATTCTAGTCATTTTTATTCATCTATGATGGGAGAGATGGTATACTTTTATGATGATCAAATTATTCGAGTTGAAGCACAAAATAATTGCTGACGAGACCAGTAGCGTTCATCAAAAGTAATTTGAAAAACATCAAATGAATATAAGAATCCATTCATATAAGAATTCATCAAAAGGTCCCTTTATTCAAATCATGTTTGAACAAGCTTAAAAGATTTGAATAGAATTCAAACTAGTTTGAATTATTTTAATTTATGACAATTTTTTAATAAATAGTTTGTATATACAAAAGAGTAATATTGTAGAAAAAAAACATTTATATATATTTATCAAAGATGGTTAAGAACATAAATAGTGAATACATTACTATTTGAATCTTTTTTTAACTTGGTTTGAGCAATACTTTGCTAATAGTGGCGTGTAAATGTTACCCAACTTAACTTAGGCTTTGTTTGAGACAGCTTTCTTCTTGCTTTCTAAACAACTTTTCAGGTATAAAAATTTTAATACAAAATTTTTTTGAATTTAAAAGTTTTGTATTAAAAAGCTATTTTAAAAATCAATATGAATGCTGTCCAAAACAAAGTCTTAGTCTATAGGTTGAGAGCTTTGACTATACACAGGAGGTAGAAGATTTGAGTCAAACTGGCTTAAATATAATAATTTTTTTTTTAATAAAATCATATTTAAACAATCTTTAACTAAAGATTTGAAAATGATTCAAATTAATTTTATTTGAAAAAATTTGGCAAAAGAGAGAATAATTTAAAAAGAATTGAGTATATTTATTAAAAAAATATTGAAATAACATAAACAGTTAATATTTTTCTGTAATTACGCGTGGTAGAGATAAATAAAGTTAGAATATTGAAATAAAGCCTATTTTTCCTATTTTTTCGGGTGGCGCAAAGGGAAAGGTTAGCGGCGATAGGCCGAAACTTGCATCGCCGTACTCGCGCGGTCCACTACATATAAAGAGAGAGAATTTCTCAAATCCAAAACCTTCTTTCTTCCCCCTTCCCTATCCATAAACCCTAATCCAACCAATTCCAGAGTTCCACCTTCTAATCCTTCGCGCCTGACCAAATCCACAGGAGAATCTTCAGTTCGAATTCTGCGCCGGCGAGAGGTTTATCTCTCTAGCGCGTACTAGACTCAGCAGATTCTTCTTCCCGTTCCACGACCAATCACGAACACTTCTTTTGCTAGGGCTTATACTGGATTGGTCAACCCTGGCGGATTCTAGGGCCTTCTAATGGCGGATCAGCCGCGCCTCCGCCTGCCGTCGAGTTACTGCAACATCCAACTTGTGAAAGCGTCGCTAGTGTTAGGTATAGGGTTTGAGCGAGGATTTTGTGCTGGATTTGAGAGACGGGAAGCATGCTGAGTGTGCTGCGTGTTCATCTGCCGTCGGAGATTCCCGTGGTTGGCTGCGAGATTACGCCTTACGTTCTTATCAAGCGCCCGGATAACTCCGTATCCAACGAGGATGTCGTTGAGGCCGCACCCGTTGGGGGTTGCTATATGAGCTATAGGTGGTGAGTTGAAGCTCCGGCTTGTTTTTGTTTACCAGCATATTGTCTCAAAGTATTGTTTATTAAAGTTACATAGTTTTTTCTCAAGCATGGTTATCTACCTCATGTTATGAGACCGTTGGTTTGTTTGTTTTACACAGTACATGCACATCCTTTTCACGTTCTAGCACTTTCTTATTTTTGCCCTGATCACCTTTGTTCTTGGGTTAAGGCGCCCTAATTGTTAATGGCTACATTTACTTAGATGCCTAATAATATGTAGTTAGAATGATTTTATAGGTCTGTTTCAGCTGATTGCTTTATAGACTCGTATATGTTAAGTCAAGCGTGGTGCATGATAAGAAAAAGAGGTCTAAATGTGTAATTCATGTATCATCAATTACTTTTGCGGAGGAACTACCCTTTCTCCGAGCAATCATGTGAAATTTATACTGGCTGAAGGATTTTAATCCTCCCCTCGTTCAAATAAGTTCTCCAGCAGCTTGATTTTTTTTTTCATAGATTGATAAATTCTATAATGAAATGTCGAAAATAAGTATAGATGATGGAAGCTGATAAGCATTTTTTTCTTGCATTGCTTTCCATGTTTTCCTATTATATGTTAGAAAAAATAAAACTGGTTTTGAATAATGAAAAAATTTTGATTGTTATAAAGAGATAAAATGTGTAATATTCTGCGTGCAAAATTAAATCTAGGTTTTTTTATATTGATACATTAAAACTGCATGCCTTAGGCATCTCATGTCAAGTTGTTTATTTTACTCCTAGTTGATAGGCATTGGTATTACAGATGAGAAAGTCAAGCAACAAATTGTGCACAATGATATGTTTAAACAGGCCTTCATAGTATGCTTCTTTAAGTAGGAATATTAATAAGCATAGTTAATGCAAATTCACATGGTTGCAAAATATATATATTGTTTACACACATATCACAAAAAGGATAATGTTTATGGGAAAGTTAAAATCAAAATAGTTTATGCTGGTTTATAGAGAATGAAATGATGGATTATTTAGGATGGAAAACAAAGTTTTTGAAAAAATTAAATAATTTTGTCAATAGTCTAAGCTCATATTTTGCTTAGGCCTCATTTTGTGAAATGGAGGGTATGTAGTGTACTAGTGTGGTAGGAATCATTGTGAAATAGCATATGGACAATTGTTCTTTGATAAAATTCTTGAAACCTTATTCATTAGAACTTTAGAGGCTATTGCTGGTTTTTCACATTTTCAGAAAGCACTTGAGTTAAAGCTTTCTTTGTTACCCCTCTCCTTGCTTATTCTCCTCCCTAGAGTGTGTATCACTGTATTCTGCCTTTATGAAACACCTTCATTGATGCTGTCGTGATTTCACCTCTCCATTTTGTAGTTATGCCCCTTTAAACCTTGGAAAGTTGCCTTATCCAATGATTTCCAACTATATGAAGACAATAATTACTGACTATATAAAGATGAGGCATCCTTCAGAGCGTATTTTTAGCATAACCTCTAAAATTAAGAACCCCATCCACATTTACCCTTGTTTCCCCTTGCACTCTTGTATTGAGTGATGGTTATAATGGAGCATACTTTTGCAGTTATTTTTTTTCTATTTTTATTTTTCATTATCTTCCCCTAATTTTTATAGAAACACATTGTTCATTATCTAGATCTATTGTGTCTCCACACTTTCGTAGTTCTTTTATCATTATGAGCATTGTCTTTATATGTTTTCTAAATGGCTAATATGTATTGAACCCTATATGCATTGACTTGGACTTCTGTTGTTGCTATTATTATTGTTTTTTTATTCTTTTAGGAAATTTATATTCACCTTTGCTTTTAAAACAATGATGCTCCCTTGCTCTCATTTCTCCATCAATTTTGTTGCTATTGTCATAGGTAGCTTATTATCATGGTAATGATTTTTGATGTGGCTAATGGCAAGCCCCTAACGATGACGAGCCTCCTTTCCATAAATCATTTTTAGTAAAAAACTATTGAACCTTGCATATATTGCCTTATTCATTTGGGATTAATGTTGTCCTTGAATTTTTTTTTAAACCCCTTCACTTTAGGTCTAAAAAAATAACTTTTCCACTCTCACATTTCTCCCTCTCCTTTGTCTGCTGTTATCGTTGAATACAACTTTTTAAACTTGGTAATTAATTTTGGCATCATTGTTGCCTTGTTGGCATGAATCCTTTATCTATGACGAGCTTTTCTAACATATCCAAACACCATCATAGCCCCAAAACCCACATACCTTTCTCTTTTTGTCCTTCTCATATATTTTTTTGGCACCACTACTCTCTATCTATTTTGATTGGCCATGTTTTCTTTAATAAAAATCCTTGTGTTTTCATTTTCTTTGATCACAATATCTGCTGTCAGTTTCTTTGATGAAAACTAAACCTCCTAGAGCCTCTTCTTCATCATCATCTTGCAAGCAGGGTTTCCCCCCTCTAGAGATAGTTGGAGTGGTAGTTCGTTACTACTTACTACCCTTAGGCATTCACTTATTCCCCCCAACAACATTGTTTAGTGATATACCATGACATTTATTATTTTTATATGGTTAAAATAAAATTAATTTCTTTTTATCTTCTTTTGTAATTTATTTGATTAGTAGATTAAAGATAATAGAGATTTGCACAACATTAATATTGCATATGTTTTTAAATGATTTTAATAGACATTTCTGATTATCTTTATTTAATGTAGCTTTTAACTTGGTTTTCAACATTACCAAACAAAGCCCTGTGTTATGATAAGTTTGACACCTCTTCTGTCAAACAAGCATGACTTAAAAGCTGGTTCTTTTAGAAGTCTCAGTCAAATAATTGTTGAGAATAAAATGAAATTAAATTTAATTGATATTTCATCTAATGACGTCATTGATTGACGTTGTGGTTGCTAAATTGACTTCAATATTTATATGCCAATCTTTTGGTACCATAGCGGTGGATTCTCTTACAAGAGCTTATAAAATGGTGGCATGAGAAATATCTAGTAATAAGATTGATATGTTACTTGATTCTCTCAAGCAAGAATTTTGAAGCTTTTTTTCATATCGCAAAGCACGAAGTGTTTTTACAAAAAATGTAGAATTTGACTCTAAGATCATCCAAACTATGTTTTTAGCAAACTAATTATTGAGATAGTATGGTTTGATGAGATGAATCTAATGATATGAAGAACATCAGATCAAAGTTCAAAGGAGCTTAAGTTAATTACTAGTTGAATTGGGAATTTCTTAAGGCACACTTGTATTCAAAATAAGCGTGCATTGATTAGATGAATTCGATGAGCCCAAGCATGCTCAATTATGAGATTATTAAGGCATTGGGAGGTCCAAAAAATATAGCAGATGATCTATTTAAGCCAGTTGATTGAATGTCTAGATTAAAAAAAAAAATGAACAGAAGGCCCCATTAAAAAATCTATAAACCAACCTCAATTCCTTATATTTGAATTAGGCTTTGTGTGGAGAGAATACTTTGACTCATTGAGTTTCAATTCTGCAACTGCCATACAGAACCTGACCAATTGCTTTTAAAATTTGCATGCCCAAACTTCTTTCTGCCTATCTTAGTCATTTCGTCCTCTCTTGTTAAAAAAACGTGTCACTGACATACTCTTAACACCTAACTTTCACCATCAACATTCATCATTGCTATTGAACGAAGCTAAAATTCTCCGTCCCCTCCCCTTTCTTATCTGATAATTGATGTGAAACAAACATGCGATGGAGTTACTTTAAGAAATTAAAAAGAGCAATTTAAACAAAATAATCCAAAATAAAATTGTCACTTATGGCAAAAGTTTGATCCTTGGAATTCGTAGTTTTTAACTTGCTTAGGCAAAGAAGAGCGAGATCGATTAATCAAACAATTCAAGAAAACGTAAAGAATAATTGTACGCTACGACAATAAACAAGAATCCACGATTTAATATTGAGAACTTTCACCTTTGGAGCCCATACGCTCAAATAATCTAGGCTTTAGCGGAAGAAGAGTCTCCACATTAGATTAGGAGCTTAATTCATGGCTTCAAATAAGGCCTCATTAATTCCTAATTTCCCTCCTAAGCCTAAATTTCGAATTTCAAAAATTTGAAATTTCAAAGTCCAAATTAAAATTAGGAAATCTGAAATTAATTTCAGATTTCCTAATTTTAATTTGGACTTTGAAATTTCAAATTTTTGAAATTTGAAATTTAGGCTTAGGAGGGAAATTAGGAATTAATGAGGCCTTATTTGAAGCCATGAATTAAGCTCCTAATTAAGGGTATGGTGGCCGGCCATAGAGCAAGGAGAGAGGGGGGTTTCGGTTTTGATGAGGTGGGGCCCACTTGATTAATTAATGGATTTGAGTAAAAGCTGAAGTAAATTCAGATTTTAACCAAAAGGAAAAATTTCCTAATTTATGATTAAGCAATTATGCAGCAATTTGAATTTCAAATTGGAATTGAAATCCAATTAAGATGATGACATAAATTCAGGAATTAATTTTGGCAAGAGGGTAACAGCTCTTGGTGAATTTGAATTTCAATTCAAAACCCAAGAGGGGCCGGCGGGTAGAGAGGTGGAGGGGGAAGGAGGCGGCTGCAAGGGGGAGGAAGCCGGCGGGCTGGAGAAGGGCTGGCCGGTGGTTGCTGGCCTGCGGTTGGGGCTGCAGGCCGGCGGCCTGGGCAATCCAGGGAGGGGGGCGGCGGCAAGAGCAAGGGAGGGGAGAGTGTGGGGAAATTCTTGGGATCCAAAACCTGAAAATCCAATCTTCCACTAGTGGCTTCAATCCAAATCCACGCAACGATGACTTGATCAAGATAAACAAAAGAAAAGAGAAGGACAAGAAAACCTAGAACTCACAAAGAGATCTAGCTTCTCCTACGAACTCACTAAGAGATCGTGGAGGTTTGCACTCACAAAGAGAACATGAACTCTAAAATTTTCATTCATCAAAAACTAACTATTACATGAGAAAATAGCCTTATAAATAGGCCTCAAAATGACAAAGAAGCAAAAGACTAAAATGCCCCTTGGGCTACAATAGCTACCAAATACCCATGAGGGCAAAAACGGAAAAACATAAAATAAAAATAAACTACTACATAAAATGATGAAAATGCAGATCATGATCGTGGTCGTCGATCTCCGGCATCTCTTGAAGGTACATGTGTCGAAATCGCTGCTGATGTCCCATCAATAATGGTATACATTGTTGCACTCCATCAATGGACATCGACTTCCGTTATTGCCATTCACAGTTTACCCGCCAACTTCATTGCCTTCCTATACCTCTTAGCCATTAGTTTCAGGAGACATTCCATATAATTCAAACTTTGTAATCCCACCTCCTTCAACAAAGTTGATAGGCATATCATTGTAATTTTTAGCCTACGAAGTGAAATTTTTTTAATTTGGGCTAAGCTCCGTATTTTTTTCCTATTTGGTTTTCCAAAAAAAAAAAAAAATCTTGTCTCATGTGCGTTGTTGGCCTTCTATTCTCTTGTTTGTAAGGTTTCATCAATATTAAGACGATAAACTCTCTCTCTATTGTTGCTAATATTCTAGCATGCCTAACATGCAATAGAAGCAAAAATAATTCGAGTTTTAGAATTCATGAGCAAAACTAAAAAATTGTATATTTTATGAGGGAAACTAAGAGGATGGTATGTGTCAGTGATGCTAGTTTGTCAAGTAGGGCTGCTTTTTGGAACTTCAAGAGGCGGATAATTACCAATATATAAGTTTGCGGTGTGATTGGGATGAGTACTCTTGTGTAGGTTGCTTGTTTTCTTGTATCTTGCAAACAATTTTCACATACTGGAAAAAATGATAAAAGCAAGAATATGAAAAATATAGAGCGTGCTTTTTGTGAGTGTTATTGGGTGCTTCTTTCTTTTGACTTACATGCACTTAAGTGCTGGACTCCATGCTATGAATGAGGATACAAAATAAATGTTAGAGAGCGCCGAGAATAATTTATTACATTTAAATTGACCTTCGCTACAGCCGGAGCTTTTTTTTTTCTTTACTGAAATCTTTCAGCATAATACTAGTTCACCATCCCCACATGATTCCTTTATCCCATGAGCTTTGCAGAGGCATTTTAGTCTGATTTGATCTTGTTATCATGCAGGTATCGCATTCAAACTGATAGGAAAGTTTCTATCTGCAGTATTCATCCATCAAAACAAGCAACTTTGCAGTGCATAGGCTGTCTCAAGGCAAAAGTACCTCCTGCAAAGAGTTTTCATTGTACACCCAAATGTTTCTCAGATGCTTGGCGACACCATCTTGTCTTGCATGAACGAGCTAGCAGTGCTGTTAATGAAAATGGAACTGAGGAAGAAGAATTATTTGGACGTTTTAGTAGTGGTGTTTCAGGTGCCGTCAATACTAGCTCAACATCCAACTTGAATAATGCTTCCACACCTGTATATCCTGCAAGTATTTCAGAAAGGAGTGGAGGGGAAACATGGTTTGAAGTGGGGCGTTCTAGGACCTATACTCCATCTGCTGATGACATTGGTCATGAACTGAAGTTTGAATGTCTACCAGTAGATTCAGAAACTAGAATACCTGTTGGAAATTCAAGTACAGTTACAACAGCACGTGTAATTCCAGCCCCTTCTCCATGCCCTCGTCGCATGATTAAAGTTGGTGGTGCTGATTTTCTCGGGCATTTAGATCATGATAGTGCATCCTCTGGTACCTTTAAAGTACTCTCATATAACATTCTTGCTGATCAGTATGCAACAAGTGAGCTATACGGCTACTGCCCTTCCTGGGCTCTTGCATGGCCTTATCGGAGGCAGAATCTATTGAAAGAAATCATTGGCTATCATGCTGACATTATCTGTCTTCAGGAGGTACATTTCAACGCACTTTTAATTTTCTGGAGAAATTAGTAGTCTATGCATGTAACCATTTTTTTAGTCATTTGGCATGCATTTTTTTTGCTTTTCTTTTGAATCTCATCATTCATTCTCTCTTTTATTATTATTTTATATTAACTTACTAAAAAGGGCTATAAAATTCTTACACCTAGTTTCACAGAAATCATTAATTTTATTTTGCACATCTAGGGATTTTATTTTGGCTATAATAGGAAATTGATCTTAGCCTCAACCTTCGTGCTAAATAATTTTGGCTTGGTTGGCTATTGTCATTTAACCTGTTCTCAAACTAAGACGTCTCAAGTATGAATGTATTTACCCTCCACTCTTTTTTAGCATATGGTAACAATAGGCCTATATTGTGTTCTGGAAGAAAATTGTTATTGACTATTACATGCTTAGGACGATGGAGGAGCCAATTTTTTTTCTAGTGGGACATAAATTAGATTTTTAAATATTTCTTCTAACTTTTTTCATTCATGCTTAAGATCAATATTGGCAATAAAAAATTATTTAAATTTATTTTTTTAAAAAGAAAAAAATTAAAACTTTCAATTTATAATGATTACTCTTCATATTCTAAAAGAGTTGAATGATTGTCTTATTATTAATGCAATCAAATATTTCTTTTTCAATATAAGTGATTAAAATATCATTCATCCACTAATTTGAAATTCTATTTTGTAGTCAAATTTTTATAATAATCATAGTAGAGAAAATTCTTTCAACTTATGTCATAGACATTGATCTTAAAAATAAAATCTAAAATTTTTAATTTATCACGATAAAATTTTGATTAGAATATTCAAATATAATTTATTTCAATATAAAAATCACAACTATGAGGGAATGAATAAAAGAATCAGGATGATTAATTATAATTATAATTTAATAATAAATAAATGATAATAATATAAAATGAAAAAAAACTATTTTATTTTTGAAGGGGGCCATTGCCCCTTTAGCCCCTCCCCCAAATTCTACCCATGCCTAGAAAACCAAATGTGCTCTAGATGAGTCGTTGTTCAAGAATACATGTTGATCATAGCCACAAATTATAGGCTTAAGCTCCTAGTTGATTACGAAGTTTCTGGAATTTAAAGGGCCTTAATATAAAACATAAAGTTTTTAGTTGTTTTGGTTAATGTTATTTATGACTAATGATGTTTTTGCCGCCAACAATTTATTTTTTGTGCTATTTTTTTTTTTCGGCAAGGGCTGCAAGGAAACAATTGTAAATACTGATTTCTCTATTTGTAAAGAATTGCTTTTGAGATCAAGGCAGGATGCACTTGATATTATTTTTCATGTTGAACTTTTAACTGCATGGATTCCTTAATGCATTTTCTGGTTTATGAGACTTCACAGTGGAGTTCTATTTTTTATTATTATACATGACTTCGAAGAAATCTTGAAGAAATTTTTATTGGAGTACATTTTAATGGACATGTTGGTAGAGAGGTATATGATTTTTAAAAATATTCATAGTGGCTATGGGTTTGGAGTGACTAATAAAGGTTATATGGCCATATTAGATAGCTTGATTTTGTAATTGCTAATACCTTATTTAAAAAAAGAGATGAACATCTCATCAATTATAAAAATGGATATAATAAAACTCAAATTAATTATTTTCTTATAAGAAAAATAGATCATTTAGATTGCAAAGATTGTAAAGTTATTCCGAGTGAAAGTTTATAGATTTTAAGATGAAGGTGCGGGAAATAAAAAAAAATAAAGTAAATTGTTGTTCTAGGATTAGATGGGGGCATTTAATAAATATTACCAAAAATATTTTTGAGAGTAATATTTTAGATCTTAAGATTTTGTCTGTGCATGAGAAAGCTACTGCTATTTGGGAAAATATAGTTAATGATATTAAGAATGTTGTAAAAGATGTGCTTTGAGTATCAAAGATAAAAGTTTCTAATAACAAAAATAGTTGGTGGTGGAATCAAAGTTTGCAAGAAAAAATAAAAATGAAGAAGATTTTTTATAAAATTAGTTTAGATATAAAGAGTTTGATAATTGAGAAATATATAAAGAGCCTCGTAAGGAGTCTAAGAAAGCAATATGCATGCAAAGATTTTATCTTTTAATCATTTATATAATAAATTAGATACTAAGGATGGCGGAAGATATATATATATATATATATCCAAACAAAGAGATAAGAGTAGTAAGGATTTAGTTCAAATGAAATGCATTATAGACAAAGATCAAAAAGTGTTTTTATTAGAAGAGGATATTCAACTAAGATAGATGAAATTTGGCTAAAATTTTCAATGAAAATTATGAGAATACGATTGACTTTAGTGATCTTAGTACTCTAAATGAAAATAAAATTTTGTTTTTATTAGCTTATTAGTAAAATCTAAGTTAGATATGATTAAAAGAAAATGAGGTGTGGAAAAGTTGTTGGGCTTGATGATATTCCAATAAAGGTGTGAAATGCTTAAGAATGAAAGAATTTCTTGGCTTACTAAACTTTTTAATATTATTTTGAAGATTAAAAAGATGGCAGATGAGTGAATAATGAGTGTGTTGATTCCTACTTTTAAGAATAAAGATTATGCACAAAATTGTGCGAATTATAATGGAATTAAGTTATTGTGTCTTACTTTAAAACTAAGGGAGAGAGTTATGAAACATAAGTTGTAGTGTGATACTATCAATTTGGATTCATGCCGGGTAGGTCTACTGTGTAAGCTATATATTTATTGTGAGGTTTCATGGAGAAGTATAGATAGACTAAGGAGGATCTACATATGTCATTTATTGATTTAGTGAAAGCATACGATAAATTTCCAAGAGAAGTGATATGGAGAGTTCTAGAAAAGAAAGTGGTTAATAATGCTTATATTTAAGTCATTGAGGATATTTATGTAGTTGTTATTTGTGTTCAAACAGAAGGTGGTTTGATCAAGTATTTTCCTATTTCAATTGGATTACATCAATGATCAGCCTTAAGCCCATATCTTTTTGCTTTAGTGATGGATGTGTTCTCACTAGGCATTTGCAAGAGGTTGTACCCTGGTATATGCTTTTTGTTGATGATATTCTTCTTGTTGATAAGACTAGAGAGGGAGTTATAGGTAAACTGATAGGAAATACTTGAAGATCTCATATAAACCCTAAGAATTTTGGTGAAAACTGTGAGAAAACTCCACAAATCAAATGGAAGAACATTCAAAACGGTAGTTTTTATTGCAGAAATCAAATCAACGGAAAGAAAAAAAATGCAAAGATACAATTGGTCCTCAATTTGAGAGGAGGATCGTTCTCTCCCAATCTCTAGATGAATCTAGAGCCCAAGACACCAAGAAGAAACTCCAAAAGAACACAATAATCAAGCATGCCCTAATTCTCCTAATCTCTTCTTATTTAAAGCAAATCCCCTTCTCTAACCCTAGCCGCCCCTCTTAATTGCTCATTAATCCCATGAGCCCCACCTCCTATTGGCGGCTAATTCAAAGGAGGTGGACCAGCCTTGGTCCGCCTTTTATACGTGTGAACCGGCCCCTTGTCAAGGGCCGATTGGACCCCGATCCATTGGGGACCGGTCTAGCATAAACTTGAATTATGAGGTCAACCTTAGAGTCTAAAGATTCTCATTTGAGTATATCTGAAATTGAATATATGGAGTTAATTTTAGTAGTAATAGATTTAGTGTGGGGTTTGTGACTTTGGGCTATCAAGTCATTAGTAATTGTATACTTTTTAGACATCTTGGGTCTATTGTTTAGAGTGATGGTGAAATAGATGGGTATATTATTAGTGGAATTCAAGTTGGATGGTTGAAATGGAGGAATGGATTAGGCTTGTTGTGTGATAGAAAAGTCCCCCTTAAACTTAAGGGAAATTTATATAAGATGGTGGTGAGACCTGCAATGCTTTATGGTGTAGAATGTTGACCATTAAAAATAGAAGCATAATGGTAAGTTAAGTACTATAGAGATGAGGATGCTTAGGTGGATGAGTGACTTTACTCTTAGAGACATGATATGAAATGATCATATATGTGAAAAGGTTGGAGTAGCTCCAGTGGAAGATAAGATTAGAGAGAGTCGCCTTAGATGGTTTGATTACATAAAACGGCGGCCTTTCGATGACCCAGTTAGGAAAATAGATGCACTAGATTTGACTTTTGTTAAGAAAGGTAGAGGCAGACCTAAAAATATTTGTTTAAAAAAATATTAGAAATGACCTTTTTTTATTAGATTTAAATGAGAATATGACTCTTAACAGGACACTGGAGAAAAAGGATTAATGTAGCCGACCCACGTAGTGGGATAACGGCTTGATGTTGTTGTTGTATACATGACCATGTTGCCCATGATTTTGAGTTATTTAGTGCGGTAAAGTTCTATTTTTATTCCTTCACAAGTAAACATCAAAACTGCAGGTCCAAAGTGATCATTTTGAGGAATTTTTTTCTCCGGAACTTGATAAGCATGGCTATCAAGCACTTTACAAGAAGAAGACAATAGAGGTTTCCTTTGATGCTTGATGATCTTTGAACTTGTCCCTACATGTTGATTCTCATATATGGACTGATTTATTTATTTTGTAGGTTTATAATGGAAATGTGAATAGAATTGATGGTTGTGCTACTTTTTTTAGAAGAGATCGGTTTTCACATGTTAAAAAATATGAGGTTAGCCTTCTTTTTAATTTCCATTTTCTGTCAGATGCTATTATATTGTCTGCTGAGCTTGTTTGTCTTTCATTTAGGTCGAATTCAACAAAGCTGCGCAATCTTTGACTGATGCAGTGATCCAGCCCGGTCAGAAGAAACTTGCTTTGAACCGTCTAATTAAGGTTATTGTCTCATGCTTCAGTTTAATTTTATAACATACCTTATTTGTTAAATAGGTTTTCTAAATTTGATTGTAGGACAATATCGCTTTAATTGTAGTCTTGGAGGAAAAGTTTAGCAACCAGGGTATTGATAATCCTAGCCAAAGGCAACTTCTTTGTGTGGTAAGAGAATGGAGCCCTTTTATTTATCTTATTATATTATATAACTTGTTTTTGTAATGAACTTTAAGACCACTCTTTACATTAATCTACAAGGCATAGTCTTGTGGTAGGCATCCACTTTTTTTTTTTTGGTGAAGTATGCTTTTCACTCGTACAATGATCTCTGTTATTTTCCATTAACCTTTCATTGGAAGCATGATTAAATATCATTGAAGGCGTTCTTGATTTTGTATTGAATCAAATTTTTACCGTGCAAACAATTACTTGAGAGATATGCTGACATGATTGCGTAATTCAGTACTTAGGTACAAGTTATATACATGTTAAAATATGGAATTGGCGTCATTGCTAATTCCAAGTTTATGGCTATGCAATTTAATGCTTTATTATCATTAATTTTTTTCCTCTTTTATATTTTTTTTGACTATGACTATGGCCTCCCTGTTGCTTGGTTGCATTCTAATTTTATAGTATTGTTGCTGTGTTGATGGGGATTTCACATTTCTTTTTCCTCAGGCAAATACTCATATGAATGTCCATGACCACAAAGATGTGAACCTTTGGCAGGTTTCCATTCTAGTAACTTTACAGTGCTATTTCATTATTTTTCTTCATTAGTTATTCATATTATTTACTTTAATTGTATCAGGTGCACACTCTTTTAAAAGGATTGGAGAAAATTGCTATTACTGCTGATATTCCAATGTTGGTGTGTGGGGATTTTAATTCAGTTCCAGGAAGGTACGGACACGCGGACAGTTTTTCCTAGTTTTTTTTTTTGCATAAAATATTTACATTCCTAGGGCTTACGTATTGGCTGTTACAATTATTTCTAGTAGTTCAAACTAATGGGAATATTTATTGGATGTAGTGCATCTCATGCGCTTCTAGCAATGGGCAAGGTTGATCAATTGCATCCTGATTTGGGAGTGGATCCCCTTGGGATATTGCGTCCTCCAAACAAACTAAATCACCAGCTACCTCTGGTAATGTCTGTTTAGACTGCTTGAGCTGAGTATTCTTTGTTTGATTTTATGAGCTTGAAAGTCTTACAGGTTAGTGCATATTCAACATTTGCGAGGATGGTGGGGGTTGGCCTTGGATTAGATTTGCAACGAAGAAAGATGGACCCCGCCACTAATGAACCTCTGTTTACCCATTGTACAAGGGATTTTATTGGTACTCTCGACTACATATTTTACACGGGTATACCTACTTTTGCAACTTATGGTTTTATTTTGCTTTTATTCAGTTTTTTCAGATTATTCTTTAATGGTTAATTTTATGAGCTATATTTGACTTGTTTTCTTGTAGCGGACTCTTTAACTGTGGAATCCTTATTAGAACTATTGGATGAGGACAGTCTACGCAAAGATACCGCACTTCCTTCTCCAGAGTGGTCATCTGATCACATAGCCCTTTTAGCAGAATTTCGATGCAAACCTAGAATGAGACGTTGACACTAGATGTGAGCAAACCATTATTCCCCCTAAATTTTTAATCTTCAGCAAATTTTATTTTTAAGTTTTTCAAGGAACCAATCTTTTAAACTTGAAATTCATTTGAGTGTTAGCATTGCTTTTATCCAATTGCCTATTAGTTTATTGCTCCAACATAGCCAAATGCTATATTTCTGTGGTGTTATTGTTAACTTTTTGCGATTTGGGATTGAAAAAATATGCTACACATTCCAGTAGGAGGAATGGTAATGAAGTATGCATGAAATTTAGTTAGGATGTATAATATTTTGAAATCCTATCATTTTGGCTATGATTTCTTATAAACTGTATACTTGGCTATATGTTGGATTTTGATCTGCCATGGATATTAACTTTTTTAGTGGTCTAATCATCACATACCGTCTAAGCTGTTGGCCTTTTGCCTTTTTCCTGATCTTTTTGTAGAACCGGCTGATTTGAAATTCTTAAGTTAAAAACAAGTTGAAGCAGCCTTATCTGCTTATTGACCCAATTTAATCAATTTGAAATATTTATTCATGCTTTTATCACAATTTATTTATTTATAATTTACACTAAAATAATTTTTTTTCCTATTCCATCTATTACAACGCGGGAAAATAAAATTTGAAAAGCCCACATAGATTCGGGGTGTTTCTATTTTTGTGATCGAATACAGTATAAAATAGTGTACTGTCTCAAATGATATAAACTATATTCTACAATGGATCAAATAAAAAAATAGTTTTTTAAAAATCTTTCACTTTCGTAATCAAATACAAATAGAAGAATAACCGATGAGGACATCGAAGATCAACGGCTACGATTTTAAGTTATTTATTTATATGTACTAATTTATTTCATATTATTGTTTTTCCCTTTATACCCTTATGGGTGGTCATGTAATATTGTAGCCCGAAGGGCATTTTAGTCTTTTATTTCTTTTCTTTTCATGAGGCTTATTTATAGGCTAGTTGTTTTGTATTTTGGGATGATGATTATTGATAATGAAAAGTTTTATGTTCTTATTGATCTCTTAGTGAGTTCACGTGATCTCTTAGTGAGTTCATGAGAGGAGAAGCCCGAGGAGGGTAATTCGCAATACCCGTCAATCTTTGGAAGAGTCCGAGGTTCGCGGTTCTTACGATCTCTGTGTGAGTTCGTTAGTTATCTCTATCTTTATCGTATATTTTTGGTTATCTCCTTTCTCCCCTCTTCATGCACATTCTTCTTCTCCTCCATTGACTACCGCGAGCCAAGTCAAGAGTGGAAGAAGCCGAAACCTCCACTAGCATCTCCACCCTAGCTCCACCC